GACTTGTTACCATCATATGGACTTAATTCACTTTTAAATATATTTATGAGTGCCATAGGCCGATATTTGGTTTTATCTATAGTGGGTGGAGGGGCATAACATTATTGTCTTATTAATTAGCGGAAACAAATATTTTTAGTCGCTTCCGATTTTTCCATCTACTAATTGTATTAATTACTCCTACTTGATTCTAACTGAGACACCAAATATATATTTATAGGTAATAGGAACATAAAATAATAAAATATCAGTATATAATATTGAGGTGTTGTTGAACATTTCCTGCAGCATAGAAGTTCGTATCCAAGTTTTTATTCTACTTATGGCCGAAAAACTCCTATCACAAGTGGTGGAACACATAGGAATTTTTAAAGCAACTTGATATAGTTTATATAAATTAGTGAAAGTCTGTTTTGTCAAAATTTTTTTCACATAATTTTAAGTTATATAATTTTCATCCGTAGACTGCAATTTACAATTCTTTGGCACTTCTATTTCGCACTGTAATACATCTTAAGATACATTCATCAAATCCTGAAAAATATACATAATACATAGGTTAACTTTTGATAAAACTAGAAAACTAGAGAATGGGTAAGTACAACATAATTATCAGAAACAGTTACGATACATACTTTATAATGATCTACGAAGAAAAGACGTTCCTCAAAGTTTAATTGAAAGAAAATAGCTGTAGCCATTTGGAGGCTTTCAGTAGAAAATCTTTTTTCCAGATTTATTAAGATAACATCAAATACAGGAAAAAAAGCATTTTTTTTTTAAATAACATTCAATTGTTTCAATGGTGTCGTTAATATTTTGTTCAGCACTTATGGCTGCAGTAGTATCAAAATGTTTAAGATTGTGTGGCACTTGCCTTTTTTTTTGCATTCTAGTTAAGTAAATATTAACTTAAAATTATTATTATTATAAATACATATAATATGTTTATAAATATAGTAAATGACAGGTATTGCATAAATATTAAACAAAAAGATCCCGCAACAGGTGTCAAAACAAATAAGAATGATAGTTCAAAAAATTATTATGCATATCGGTTGATGATTAGACGCGATCAGTACTAAGTTATTTTACGATGCATAAGCTTTGTCAACAATTCATGGTCGAAATATATATAAAGATAGATAGCGAACGATTTCGATACTTCGATTTCAGTTCAATCAAAAAAAGCGGCGTGCAAAAGATTCTCAAAACAATTGTTAGATATTGGAGATGGGAAAGTTACTACAGATGAAACGGGATGTATAAAATTACCGAACGATATCTGCACAATCATTTATTCGCAAGATGCTCTCATTGACCAGATATGTCCCAGTGTACACAGACAATACACAAATCATGAGTGGCTGGCAGAAAGAGCGATTTTAATAGCAAAAAATGTGGAGGTCAACGAATTGAATCTCAAGTTACAAAATTTGTTACCAGAAAACTTGGTGTCATACAAATCTAGATACAGTTTGCGATGCTACTGAAGTTGTAAATTATCCAACAGAGTTTTTAAACTCATTGGAATTACTAGGCTTACCACCGCATAATTTACAATTGATCATTACAATTTACCATCGATAAAATACCTCCTTCAGAGTCATTTAAAGTTGTAATACATGCAGATAAAAAACCACCAGAAGAACATAGAAGCAGGTATAATGCACCAACGGCAAATGAAGTTGCTTTAGTGTTAGTAGAGCAGCAGTTTGATCGAAGAGACATCATCCTCGAAAACCGAAGTAACTCACTTCACCGTATCAGTGAGATACATCGAGCATACGACGCACTGCAGTATCCTTTAATGTTTTGTCGGGGGGGATGATGGCTATGCAATCAATATACCACAACGCGATCCAAAAACCAAGTTACCGCTTAAAAAAACTGTCTCTGCATCAAGTTTTTACTCATATTGAATAATGGTCAGAGAAGGGGAAGACAACTATTTAGTTAATCATCGTTCTCTTTTCAGTCAATATTTGGTAGATGAATACGCCAAAATTGAAACTGAAAGACTAAATTACATCAAAAACAACCAAGCCAAATTGCGTGCAGATAGTTATATTCATTTAAAAGATGCGATTGGACGACGAGACATAGAAGCTAATCAGTTAGGCCAAATGGTTATACTCCCGTAAACTTTTACTGGTGGGCCAAGGTACATGCACGAGAGAACACAAGATGCTATGACCTACGTTAGACATTACGGTCGTCCTGACCTTTTTATTACTTTTACATGTAAACCTCGCTGGGACGAAGAGCTCTTACTTCCCGGTCAAAGATCATATGATCGACATGATATAATTGCAAGAGTGTTTCGGTTAAAAGTCAAAAAGACCATGAACTTATTAACAAAAGGTAAAATATTCGGAGAAGTGAGATGCTATATGTATTCAACAGAATTCCAAACTGTAGAGAGGTTCAAGTAGTTGTAAGCTATAACTTATCGAATAGGTTATGATAATAATCATTATCTTAAAAACTAAATTAATATGTATAAAATATTATTTCAAAAATCTTAATTAATTTAAATTTCAATAGATTTAACAAAATTTAATCTTGGCAGGTTACATACATTTATATACTTAAACCCGGTAACGACGGGTAATTCAGCTAGTCTTAGATAAAGCTTTAGTCATTATCTTTATATTTAATCTAGATAAAAATATTGGATATCTTTCCCAACACTGCTTATAACCTTGCATCAGATTAAAAATACAAGACTCACTTTCTCGATGCACAAAACATTGTAAACCAGTCTATTGTAGGTTATTTGTCATTTCACTTAACTAAGTTCGGAATAATCTAGTTATATTAAGGACTTCCATGCGTAGTTCAGTTTGTAATGAATAATAGCCATGTTAAGTAAAAAATAAAAGACCAAAATTTATGTTGTTATGGGCTATCATATATCATAAAATATAAAATAAATATCTTTTAATAATTGATATATTTTAATACAGGATATGTATGATCAAGTAATTATATATTTAAATTTAAAACAAAACTAAAATACACTATAAAGACAATGTAATGTCATATCCTTTTATTATAATTATATATTGGTCTATATAACAAGAAATTAAATCAGGAATACTATGAACTACAAATGTGGGTATTACAAGGACAAAGAAACACAGTAGCAGGTGCAAAGATCTACATTTCCTGAAAATTACAGAATAACAAGATAAATGACGTCAATCAAGCAATATAAAAGAGAGACCGAAATGACCACAATGCAGATGAGTTCTAGTCAAGGAACTGCAAGCAACTTCACGTCACTCTATTTTAAAATTTGTTAAACACTTTGAATATTAAAATAAATGTATAAAAGTTAAAGTCTTAAATTTAAATACATCATCGACTGCACTACTTGGAATCGAGCCGGTGGCAAGTAACGATTGGCGCTGCGGACAGGGTTCTTCATAAAGAAAAGTATTTATATTATTTTCTCATAAAAATATATAATATTTTTCCACGGAGGCAGTTCAATTCATTCGAATCACCGAGAGAAGAGAGAAGAAACTGATCACTTTTTCTCCAACTTCGATGAAAGAACATACACTCCATTGTGCAACATTTCAAGTCAAACAGTCAACGATGTCTTTTGGATCGTCCAACTCCGCCTTGTTGTAAGAATTATTATAAATATAATTATTGAAGTATTTAATTGGGATTTATTATTGAATTATTATTGAGAGTACTATTGAATATATTATTGGGATTTATTATTGAGTATTATTGTGAATTATTGAGATTTATTGAGCATATATATTGAGAATTTTTGTTGAGATTATTATTGAAATATTAATGGGATTATTATTGAGTTATTATTGAGATTAATTATTGAGAATTATTTATGAGTAACCGTGACACATTAGGCTCATCTCCATTGGAAGTAGCTAATCCAGTGAATAAAATTGAAAGTGACGAAGAATTGAATAAAACGTTTAAAGATGGTATCCCAAATAAAGAAAAAAGTGAAAAAGAATTAATACGTATAGGAACAAGAAGTCAGGTTAAAAAATAGCGTGATCTGAAGAATTAGAATTTATTTTCGAAAAAGAAGCTCTTAATAATATAAATATAAATAAAATTTTAATAATCAAAATAATTATGACAGATTTATAAAAAAAATTTTAATCAATCACGTAATTGTCAGCAAAATAATTCGTTTCAACAAAAATATAATAATAACAGAAATTTCAATCGTAATAATTATAATTCACAACCACCTTATAATAATCAAAATAACAAGCAGGTAAAATGCTATAATTGTTATGGTTAGTTATGCATGTGAATGTAGGAATAATTTACAGAATTATGGGAATAATAATCGACCACCTAATCAGAATAACATTACGAGACCTTCAACTAATTATAACGTAAGATTTATTGCATACGAATACTGTAACAAAAACGGGCATAAATTAAGCGAATGTTATAAAAAACGCTATGATGATCGAAATAATCGAAACAACGGAAATAATAATAATTCGGGAAACACGCAAATATCGAATATGGTCAGCGGTACACGTTCAATAAGTCAAATAATTACCGCAGATGCTTCCACATCACAACAGAATTAAAAGAAAATCATATAAAATGTAAATCAGATTTCAGTAAAACTAAAAATTTAGAAATATTAATAGATACAGGTAGCGAAATAAATGTAATATTAATTAACAAATTGATAGGGGAAATAATGGTAGACGAAAATAATAAAATTAAAATAAGAGGGATATATGAGAAATTAATAGAAACTATTGGAACAGTTAATATAACAATTGAAATTAATAATGAAAAATAGATGTAAAATTTAATCTTGTCAAAAATGATTTTCCATTTTTAAAAGACGGTATATTAGGACAATCTTTCTTAACTAATAATAAAGTCGTAATCGATATAAGTAATAATAGAATTTTAATTAATAATGAAAATAAATGTAATATATTAAAAAATGATGAAGAATGTTTTTTATTAAATCCGAGAACCGAGACTATTGTAGAATTACCGATAGCCGAACCTAAGGTCGAAGATAAAAATATAATTATACAAAAACAAGAAATAATTAAAGACGTGTTTTGTAGTAATGTAATAGGAAAAGTAAAAAATGGTAAAATAATAGTTAGCATATTAAATATATCGGTATGTACTCAAAAAATTAAATTAAATGATTTAAATAAAATATTATATGACGTATCTTCAGATTACAATTTATTCAATATTGATACGATAAAAATAAATGACTCTTCAACCCGAATAAAACAGATAAAAAATTTAATTAGAAGCCAACACATGAATATTGAAGAAAAACAATCTATATTTGAATTATGTGAACAATATTCTGAAATATTTCATTTAAAGGGAGATAAATTAACATTTACTAACGCCGCTAAACACGAAATATAATTAAAAGATAACCAACCGCCTATATATAAACGACCATATAGATTACCTCATTCACAACAAGAGGAAATAGCTTCAGAAATTCGTAAAATGGAAGATGATGATATTATAGAACAATCCCCGAGTCCTTGGAATGCACCATTATTATTAGTAGCGAAAAAACCAGATGCTAGTGGGAAACAGAAATTCAGAATTGTTGTAGATTTTAGAGCATTAAACGAAGTAAAATTAAATGAGTTTCATCCACTTCCGAACATAACTGAAATATTAGATCAACTAGGACAATGTTAATTATTCTGTGTTTTCGATTTAGCATCGGGATTTCATCAAATACCATAAGAACAATCATCACGCGAATTAACGACCTTTTCAACTAATCGAGGTCATTGACACTTTAAACGTAATGCAATGGGAATGAGAACTTCACCCGCAACTTTCCAAAGGTTAATGAACAATGTATTAAAAGGCATAAGTAATAGGAATAAAATGTTTAGTATATTTAGATGATATAATTGTAAACGGGAAAAATTTAAGTGATCATAATAATAAATTAAAAGACGTATTCGAGAGATTAAAAGAACATAACTTAAAAATACAACCGGATAAATGTGAATTTTTAACACGCGAATGTGTATATTTAGGACATGTTATATCTGAACATGGAATAAAACCAGACGAAAAGAAAGTAAAAGCAATTTTAAATTTTCCAAAACCAACTAATGTAAAAGAAATAAAATCATTTTTAGGATCATCAGGTTATTATAGGAAATTTATCGAATCATATAGTGCTAAGGCAAAACCAATTACAAATCTTTTGAAAAAATACGTTAAATTCGAATGGTCGGAAGAATGTCAAAAAGTTTTTAATTCCTTAAAACAAGCATTATGTTCTGAACCAAAAATCCAGATTTTATGAAACCATTTATTTTAACAATTGACGCAAGTAATAAAGCATTAGGGGCTATATTATCGCAAGGAGAGATAGGAAAAGATTTACCATATCATATGCTTAACGAACGCCGAGTAAAATAATAGTTGATATAAAATATTATAAAATAGATAACCGATATGTAATGTTTTTAATAACTAAAAATAAACAATCAACAATTAACAACGTATGAAAATATATACGTAACATTAGTGAACTTGAAACAATTTTGCGAGGAAAATAATATCAGTAATTTAGCAATGAATAAACTAGGTCAGTCGGGATAAGCTAGAATGGGAAAAAATTAGGTCAATAATACGATATATATTTCGGAAAAATGATATAGAAATACTAATATGTACAGAGGTAGAATATACTAAGGAAAAGAAGTTAGACATTTTAAAAAAATTTCATGATTTAAGATTGGGAGGACATTTAGGAATAAATAAAACTATTAAAAATATACAGAAACAATTTAAACGGAGATGTAGGAAAGCAGATATAAAAACGTATATAAAAAATTGTACATCATGTCAGAAGAATAAGATTAATAATAAAAAGATACAACAACCCATGGCTATTACATCAAATAGTTCGAAAGCATTTGAGAAAATATTTTTAGATATTGTAGGACTATTAACAACTACCTTACCGGGTAATACATATATTTTAACGATGTAGGACGATTTAACTAGATATTCGTTAGAAGTACCTATACCAGATCATCAAGCTAATACTGTGGCAGAGGCTTTTGTAGTACATTTCGTTTGTATACACGGAATACCTGAAACAATATTAACAGATCAAGGTACCGTAGTACCGTAGGTAGTTTCTTAGTAAAACTTTTAGTGAGATATGTAAATTGGTAAAAATCAATAAAGTAATACGAGTCCTTTTCATCTCCAAACGAATGGAAGTTTAGAAGGATCACATCGAACTTTAGCTGAATATTTACGACATTATGTAGATAAAAATCCAAGCAATTGGGATCATTTATTACCATATGCATTTCTTGTATATAATTCGACTGAACATTCACCTACTAATTTTCAACCATATGCATTAGTATACGGTAGGACATTAGAAATACCAGTTAAATTAAAATCTGAGCCAGAACCAAGATATAGTTACGATAATTATTTATACGACTTAGAACAAAATTTACCAGAATCACATAAAATCGCGAGAGAAAAATTAATAAAAAGTAAAGTGAAATCTAAGGAAGGTTATGATAAAAATGAAAACGCAATTCAGATACATGTTAGTGATGATTTAGTGTTATTAAAAGATAATGCGAGCAAAAATAAGTTAAATTCATTATGGACAGGACCATTTGAGATAATAGAAGTATTAGGAGAAGAAAATATAGTAATACAAAGAGGGAGAAGAGGGGTGACAGTTCATGAAAATAATGTAAAGAAATATAATAATGACAAAGTAGAATAAAAAATATAAAAAAAATGTATATATGCAACACATATAATTAAGTTAAAATAAATATTGCAGGTAGAATCAATTACGAAGAAAAAAATCAAACAATACATATATTATAAAATTTTAATTATGGAAAGAGCTAAGGAATTCATGAGGAAATTGCGCGTATTTTTAGGAGAAGATAACCATCTAGAATTAGGGACACGAGAATTAGGAAATACAATTGATTTCCCATGTTTTAATGAACATATGATGGATGCGAACAGTATAATGACGGAACCATAGACGGTTGAACAATTGATGGGCAGGATGCTCGGATTGCAAGAATTTACGCAGGAAGTCATACCTCTAAATTCAATGGAACCAACTTGTAATGAATTGGGTATAATCATAGACGAATTAATTGAAGACGGACTTTTCTAAAACATTATAATGTATGTATATATGTAAATGTAGTATTAAATTAAAATATTTTGTAGTTCGCAGATAAAATTTGTAGTAATCGATTTTGAGTTTGCAATGGTAAATAAAAAGGATATATTATTAGTATCTGGAGCCATTTGCAACAATCTTGATAATCACACACCTGTTAAAATGGAAGGGAGACCTATCATTCTAACTGAAGAAGGTAAATTATGAGTTAGGAAATATGAAGAAAGAGAGGAATTAGATGTGAGAGAAGAGGGAGTTTATCCGTATATAATTAATAATTACTTGATACGATAATTGTAAGAATAATTAATTTTATTTTAAAGTTGAGTTAAGGATAATCAAATTGTAACACCATTACTTGGGATAATGCATAATAATGAAAATAACTGAACATCCTGGGAAATAACAATTTGATTTCTACAATTACAATGATAAAATAATTAAGAATTAATCGCAATTAATCACAGTAATATTTTGTAGTTGAAATAATAATTCAATATGTTTAAATTAGTGGGAATAATTAAATATTTTAATGGTAATATTGGTAATAATAAAAAAAAAAAGTTGTATTTTGTAAATGGGTAATACTAACATTAGTAAATTAAATATATCACATTGTAAAAGTTTGCATGTTTGAAAACAAATTGTAAATCACTAACCAAAGTAATAATTCAATTGTATTCAGTTTTAGAATTAAGAAAATTATGTAAAAGAAAAATATTCAAAGTATTATAAAAAAAAAAAAAAAAATGTTAATATTTACTAAATGTTCAATGTAAAACATATATGTAAATTGTTATGTATTTTTAACCAAAATTTGTAAATCTTAAAAACTAGAAGTATGTTGTAAAGGATTTGTAAAACTTAAGCTTGAATATTGTAAAAGATTTCTGTATTGCAGACCGAAACCTTTTTTTTAGAGGGGAGGTGTTATGGGCTACCATATATGACATAACCATGTATAAATAGAAATTGTGCGTAACACAACATTTTATGAATTGTGTAAGACATTAGGTTGTTATATTTAACTAATTGGTCGAGAGCCGAGTAATAATTTGAAGGTGCGACGAAGGTTAATCTATATCCCTATAATACTATTTTAGGAACAATGCCTATCGCCGGATACTGCTAAACACCAAGTCCTATGACGTCAATCGATCAATATAAAAGAGGGATCGAAATGACCGCAATTCAGATGAGTTCTAGTCACGGAACTGCAAGCAAATTCACGTCACTCTATGTTAAATTATGTTAAGACACTTTGAAAGTTAAAATAAACGTTTAAGTAAAAGTCTTATGTTTGATTAATTAAATTGAAATTCATCGTCAACTGCACTACTTGAAATCGAGCCGGTGGCACGTAACATTTCCCTGGAAAAATAAGAAATTAAATTTAAAAATACCAAAAATATTTTCCCGACATGAAAATACAAATAAAATTACATACCATGAAATAACAATTACTTATTAATAATACACGAATTATGATTATGAATATAAAATCTATATGTACTCGTATAAAAGAAAGCCAGGTTTTTTTACAGAATTTGTAATTCAAGAACGGCTGGACCGATTTTGATGATCTCTGATTTGTTAGATTCGTCTCCATACAAGAATAAGAATAACTCTAATCTTGGCAAGAATACAGACAATTATCTAGATAAGTAATTAGATAACTTATCATTATTTATCTAGATAAGATAAAAGATAAAAAAAAATCTATCTAGATAAGTCCCAACACTGCCGCTTAGCGATATTTTCAGTTGACTTATCAAATATACGCTAATAGTACCTATACTATCTAATATATATTGTGTATATTAGTCTAGACCAACGGTTCTCAAACTGTGGTACGCGTACCACTAGTGGTACGCGAAAGACTATAAGGTGGCCGTGATAGAACAGAAATTAAAAATTTGATATTTAACTCTTATATTAATTTAAAAACACAAATACATTTTTATTAATAAATAAATAGTAATTTTATTGTAGTATTTTAATGCCTTTATGTTTAAAATAAATGTATTTTATTATGTAAAGTTTATATGGTTCTATTATTAGTGATACATTACTGATAATATATTCAAGTGGTACGCGAAAAAAAAAGTTTGAGAACCGCTGGTCTAGACCGATTATTTCCTAGAAACTATTCAAGTTATAGTTTAATATACTATTTAACTTAATTAAAAATAATTCATATAAAAATAATCAATACAAAATTATATATATATATAT